GTTTAAGCTGTGTGCATGGCTGTACTGGTGCGCAGACAGGACTTCGTCGCGATTCGGGATTTCAATGATTTCTGATTTTATTTCAAGTTCCACAGTTCCCCGAGTATTCTAAAATTCTACAGTCTTCTAGAACCTATGTTTCCCTGCGTAACAGCTGTTCCGTTGGCCTTCCGCCACGATGGTCGTCAGCAGTCTCACCCCGCGAGGCCCTCAGCTCCATAGACGTGTAGATATTAGGGTTGTGCGGGATCCCGAGAGTTTCGGAATCCCGAAACCATTCGGGATTCCCGAGAATTTCGAGATCCCGTAAATGTTCGGGATTCCCGGGAATTTCGAGATCTCGTACATTCGGATTGCTGAAATTTTCAAGAATAACAACACTTTCGGATATCCCAGATATTATTCTATATCCCGTACGTTGTCGGGAATCCCGAGCATTCTCGAGAATCCCGAACATTCTCGAGATCCCGTACATTCTCGGGAATTCCGGATTTTTGCGGGATCTCGTGTATTCTCGGGAATCCCGAATCAACTCTCGAGGTTCCGCATAAACTCGAGAGTCCCGAATATTCTCGGGAATCCCGGACATTTTACGGGAATCTCGAACATATTCGGGATTAATCTCTATGGTCTACGGTTTAATGTCAGCTGCGCGTGGGTAGCTTTAAATTTGTTTGAATTTCGTTCAAGATGTGGCTGATCCCCGCAACTCGTTAGATGCTGCTGATAGTCGACGCAACGACTTCGATTTCCCATCAGGAGCGACATTCGCACGAATTCATGGACTTGCGGTGGACAGGTAAGGGAGTTACCTTACCTGCTCTGTTCAGATTAATAATTTCACACAAGAATGTACGTAACTGTTCGAACAATTTGCAAAATTTAACATTCAACGGAATTCTTTATGAAAACATTCGAGAGCCTTTGCAGCTAATCATTCGACAGCTCGTTTATTTTAGGTTGTCCTAAAGTTTCGTTTGTGACTTGCACTTGGTTATTTTATGCGACAGTATTTGCATAAATAGATAGCCTAATTTCTTAGATATCGATGTTGTAAAAATAATAGAGCAAAAATGAAACGTAATATGAGCTGTTATATTTGAAAATTGCATAAGTCTACTTTAAGACAAAAAAAACGAGTTAATGGTAATTTTAGTAAGATATACATAGATACCTTTTCTCATGTATCATGTATGTATAGTTTATTAAGAAAACAAAAGAAAGTTTTGAGACAACCTAATACTTTATTAATTAATAATAGACTCTAGGACTCTGGACCCATTCTGGACTTCTTACGTTATCTTCCTCGTGCCTAATTAACCAGTCTCGCTGTCGTTTGTTCGCAGACGGCTGAGCGGGCCTACGGCGAATGGACGAATGGCGATCGCGAATGAGATCCATCGTTCGATGCTCGACAGGTTCGCCAAACGGAACATCGACGAGATCGATCGGACGGCCTTTGATAATTTCTTCAAGCGAAACTTGGACGAGATAGACCACGTTGGCTGGAGCGGATTCGTGAAGAGGCTGGACGATTATCTGACGATGAGCAGATCTGGATTGGAACGAGCAGGATAAAGAGAAGTCGGCCATGCGAGGATTGCAACGAGGAACGAGTTTGGAAATGGACGAGCGTTTCCTAACCATCCTCTTACTTTATCTCTCTTCTTCGTTCTGCTTCACGATTGACGAATAAAATTGTTCTTAAAGTCGCATAGAGCCAACGCTAATTACGAATGGGATCGAGCTCGGTACAGTAATGCTGGCTTTCAAGTTAGAATTTCTACCTCGAGTGCAAGTAATTGGATTACCACTGTTTGATATTGGATGTAAGTATTGCGAACTAATTCCCACTTTCAAATTATAATTTTTAGTGCGGATGTAAGTAATATCATTCACAGAGAAGGTAAAAATCAATATGAGGGGTAACGGTAGAGAATAGAATAGGATGATGTTCCATCAGTTGGAACAAGCGTAAACAAGCGTAACGGGAGATAACTTCTGGTCAGGAATACGAGCACCTTATTATATCAACCTTTATCAACATCTGAGGCATTACTGTACCGCATTTACTTTTAGAAATATTCACGAACCACTCGATCCCATCGCTATGGTTGACGTTTCCGTTCTTTCCATTGTCTGTCCTCGTCCTCGTGGTTGTTCTTCTCGATACGCGTCTTTCCGTCGCAACCTGTATAGCAGCAACATCCCTTCTGCGAGAATAAACGATTTGACAAACTAACTCCCTCATCCTTGGTCGCATTTTTTAAATACTACCACGCGAAGAAACCAAAATTGACCGGATCCTTCTTTAATCCTACAATTTCCATAGGTCGAGTTGTGATTCGATACAGACAATTTTATTAATTACTATCTCGATAAAAGAAACGACGAGAAGGTAAAAATCGCAAGATGGTAAGGTACTTTTCATTTATACCAGTTTGAAGACTTGATTCTAAAGAAGATCCCACGTGTTTCTTGACACCCTGCATAAGCGGCTATCAATTAATAATATTTTTAATAGTTTCGCGATTAAGCGCCATTAAGGTTCAACGTACAATCAACTAATTGATTCAGTTATCGACTAATTAATTCTAATTAATTTAATCGCATTGTAACGACACCTGGTAGTTAGGAAAACAGCTTTAAGCATGGTTTTCATCGATTTGAAACGTTGAACATGGAGCAAAACTCCATTTATTTACCTCTCAATTCCCTCCAAACAACTATTCATATTTCGAATCGTTTCGTATGGCGATCGAACGATCGAACTCGCCTAGAAGCTGTACTTCCGGAGTAGTCGGAGTACGAGGACGATCGTCGATAGTCTTTCGCGCAGCAAAAGCTACTTCTCGCGGGCCACAGGCGGAAAATTTCGACAGGGGATTTCGATGAGCTGAGTTGCGAGTCGAGCGTCGATGGACGTCCACTGCTACTGGACCAACGTCATCTGGTTGCTCTTGATATTCATTTTTCTTGCCCTCGACTGTCGCGACGATCTTTCTGATTTCCTCGTTCACGTCCACAGGTGTCTCGATCATCACGTTCTCGCGATTGCGGTCCATACGCACCAACTTGTCAGACAACGAAAGGATTCATACCGAAGATCGGTCATGGGGACAACCAGCTCAAGCATCTAAAGCCGGCGACTGACTTGCAACAGAACGCTGTAATGTAACTGCTCGGCACGAATTTTACGGTTCGACGTCAACGTTACATTACAAGGTCCTTTTCGGAATCGCGAATGCTCGCTTCGAACTCTCGGCTGAATTCTCTCTCGATGCTTCCTACTCGGTTCAGTGAAAAGTAGACGATCAAAGAGGTTCGTCAAAAAACCGACAGACCAGTGGAGCACGCAAGAGCGCGAACCGAGCGCAAGATCGGCTCGGTTCGTCGTTCGCTAGTCCGCCAAACTAAGCGAATGCTCGCGTTACGTTACAATGTTCTGTTGCAAGTCAGTCGCCGGCTTGAGCGAGGAGTGGCTAACGCGAGGCGCATTAGATGACTACAAGTGGCACGTTCCATCCTTGCGCCTACTTATTTTATTTTAAGTAACTATACCTCGATCACGTTTTCCTCGAGCGTCGCGAATCGACCAAGCATAGCCGTCAGCTTCGAGTTCTGCGTCGTCAACCGATCAGTAATTCGCAACTCCTCTCCAACATCTCCTTTGATCTGTAATGGAGTTCTCTCGCTAGAACTACATACTGAAACGGTAACTTCTTTTACAGACTTTGAGTTTACTACCTTTCAAGTCGTCATAGTTTCAGTCTCTCAGGTTGTCATAACATGTTAATAGTGGATAAAAGTAAAAGGTTCTTTGAGTACGAGTAGGAAAAGATGGACAAAGAGTTCTTATATAAATAATAATTTCGTAATAAAATTCTTATTCGTTTAGTTACTCGAATAAAATTTTTGCCTCTATCGCGATAGGGATAGACCTATCGACCTATCGATAGGAACACACCTCTTCCATTCCCTTGACCACCTGATCCCCGATGAACTGTACGTTCTCTCTAGCTCGACGAACCTGCCGACACACGAAAATGATCGTACAATTCGATTAATTGATCGCGACGCCGAGTGTAATCGGTCACTGATTCGAATATACTTTACGATCGAGGTGAATTCGGCCATCTCCGACATAATCTTGCGTCGCAGCCTCGTCGCTGCAAAAAACTAAACGTCATGGGTTACTATATCGTTCCCCATTCTGTCTTTGCACTAGCGATAATAGTAGCAATAACAGTGGTAGCAGCACTAGCTTACGCGTTGGCAAACGTAGAACAAAATCACTATGTTGACAATCATAGGTATCGCGCTACCTAGAAGATGTTGCATCAAAAGCATGGTTGAACTAGGTCGATGAGACGGATCAAAGATGACGACGTTTCTGCTTGCCGTGAATCGTCCGATCTCCAAACAGCTCGAGAACTGTATTTCCTCGTGTCATCGTAGCTCGATGTATCGCATAATCTGACTGAATGTCGCCGGCGAAACAAGATAGCAAGTAACGCGTGAACTCGGTTGATTAAACGTGTACATCGGTACCATAAAATAAGAGAAATTAATACAATAAACAATATGTAAAAATTGGAAACACTTGTGAATTCATTTGTTGGTGCTATATAAATAACCGTACATAAATCTTATTAATGACTTGGTTACCTTCAAAATCACTTCCTCCCAACGTCCTCCAACACTTCTTAACACATCTTAACGCCGTCTAACACCTAATATTCTCCAGCACTTCATACGCCTCAGGAAGTGTGTGTGCGTGTGTCCCGAATTTTACATTTTTGTATCACGAGAACATGGTATGTGAAAAGGTGGCACGTTTTCGCCTAAAAGCAGGAAAACGGTGGTCCGACAGATCTGTAAGTATAGGTTGCCTGATTCAATTCCTCTTCATTTCCTGGTATATTTCCCTTTAATTTCCCTCCATTTCCTGGTATATTTCCCTTTAATTTCCCTCCATTACCTTACACATTTCCCTTTAATTTCCCTCCATTACCTTACACATTTCCCTTTAATTTCCCTCCGTTTCCTGGTATATTTCCCTTTACTTCCTGGTACATTTCCCTATAGTTTCCCCTCATTTCTGTGATATTCTCTACAATTTCGCCTCATATCTGTGATACTTCCTTGTTTAACAATGTTGCAACGGCACCACTTAAAACTTCAACAATGTTGCAAGTTCAACAATGTTGTAATTGCTCCACCCCGGGCTACAACAATGTTGCGAATCCAACAATGTTGCAAATCGCTTCTCCCGAAACGTCCACAATGTTGCAAACCACTCCTTGCAGAATTCAACAAAGTTGCAAGTTCCACAATGTTGCAAATCGCTCCTCTTGTGACTACAACAATGTTGCAAATAGATTCCCACGGGGATTCAACAATGTTGCAAACCCAACAATGTGGCAAATAGATTCCCGCGGAGTTTCAACAATGTTGCAAATCCAACAATGTTGCAAATCGCTTCTCCCGAAACTTCCACAATGTTGCAAACCACTCCTTGCAGAATTCAACAAAGTTGCAAGTTCCACAATGTTGCAAATTGCTCCTCTCGTGACTACAACAATGTTGCAAATAAATTCCCACGGAGATTCAACAATGTTGCAAACCCAACAATGTTGCAAATAGATTCCCGCGGAGATTCAACAAAGTTGCAAACCCAACAATGTTGCAAATCGCTCCTCTCCGAACTACAACAATGTTGCAAATCGCTCCTCTCCGAACTACAACAATGTTGCAAAGTCGAGTTGCTTTTTCGGATTTCGTCACATTTTGCCGAACTTCTGAGTGCAACTTTGTTGAATTTTTGGCGGCTCAAAGTTCAACAATGTTGCAAATTACTCCGCTCAGAATTGTGTAACAGGAGAACATGATATGCGAAGAGGTGACATAACTTATAATTGAATCTCTATACTTACCTTTTGTATCAGGAGAACATAATGAGTGCGGAGGTAGCATAATTTTTCGTTTTTGCTCTAAACTTACCTTGTTTCTCGGGATCACGTTATGAGTGAGAAGGTGGCCAGGGAAAGTAGAGAAATTGAAGGGAAGTGTGCCACGAAATGATGGGAAATGAATGAGAAATTGTGCCAGGAAGTAAAGTGAAATTAATGGGAAATGTAAGGTGGTGTTAGGAGGTATTTGGAGATGGTAGGAGGTGTTGGAAGGTGTTAGAAGATTTTCGAAGGTGTAAGGAGATGGTAGGAGATGTTGGAAGGTGTTAGGAGATTTTCGAAGGTGTAAGGAGATGTTAGGAGGTGTCATGTGGTGTTAAGAGATGTTAGGTGCTGTCATTCACCTACAAAGCGTTGTAAAACGTGTTACTGTTGAACTCAAGGTTACAGTTAAAAAGGATGTGGAAGGTGGCATGTGGCTTGCGGAAGGTGAATGGTGGAAGATAGAAGGTGATAGGTGATAGGTAGGTGGTGGAAACAAATGATGAAATGTGGCATGTGGAAGGTGGAAGGGTGAAGTTGGAAGGAGGAAGGAGGAAGGTGGAAGGTGATGTTGAAGTTACGATGCTGATTACCGTCACGCTCCAATTATCACCGGCACTATTAAAGATATCGATTTTATTTTTGCTTTAGCTAAATGTCAGTAGAAGGCAAGCCTTTTAGTAAGGAGTATATTTTGGTGTTATTACTAGCAGGAACAAGAGTGTTCCCATATATTTTTGGAAGCAGTACGTGGTATTACTTTATCGTTATTTGATTGGATAGCTCTTCACAAGATACAAACTTTTAGTTGAACCTTTAATTTAAGTTAATTAAGCTCTTTACAAGATACAAACTTTTAGTTGAACTTTTATTTAAGTTAATTATTGTTCGATCAATTATTTCGGTCATAATGGAGATCGCTATCCTCACCCAAGCATGTAGTATTAAACTCATTTGTTTAATAATCAAAACGACATCAAGTCTAAAAATGCACAAATGCAAACTTTCAAAAAAAAAAAAAAAAGAAATTGTTTTGGAGTTATTCACAATATATTTTTGTCTTATAGATAACAAAAATAATAAGAGATTTTATATATAAAAATGTATACTTTTTATATGGATAGTTTTTATTTGATCTCGTTACCCTTGAGTATACTGTAATTATTGGTCGACTATCGGCAATATGCGTAAGATATTTATAAAGCACACGTAAACATAGAGTCTGTTCATTTACGTACACGTATTCGTGGTTAATTGCATAGAGATGCTCCATGCAGCTTCTGTACAATGGGATACAAGGACATTCAATGGAGTGTGGTGTAAATTCGAGGATAAGTAAACCTTGTCGCTCTAACAATAAGTGATAAATCAGTGATAAAGTGCGTAATTCCCAAGAGTGCTACGAAACAAAGAAACAGTTGAATCGGTCGTATACCCTACGTATTATTAGGTGGAACAAAGGACGTAGAAACGAATGAAAGGTCATATCTAATTTTGCATTCGAGAAGGGTGTGTAAAACGTTTAAAATTAGCGGCGATGGAAAGTTGTCGCGACATTGGCGACCGTTTTGCATAGATCTCTATGCTGTTTTGACGCGAATGGCGCCGCCTACCGTCAGTGATTTCGCGCACGATCGTTTTTCGAGTGCAGCGCTAACCACTCTGCAACTATTCCGCCCGTAGGATTGGCAAAAATATGCAAAAATATGAGAAACTCGAAAAAATAGGAGAAGGTGAGTGCCTCATATCTTTCGTACGTCGTTCTTTTTCAGAGGTCGAATCACTTTTTCTCTTGATTTAGTGTTCAATAAATCAACACCCGGTGTTCATACGTCGAATGTTTTTTTGACAGCCGCAGTTGGACAGTGATTACTATTCAATTACTTTGTGATTACTTAGTAAAAGTAAACTCTTACGAGTGTCTATTAACCATTAATCATGAACTACATTTATGATGTGCATGTATAAATCGATAGTTTATAATCTTTCAAAGTTAACCGTGTCTGACTGTTCGTTAGTCATAATTAATACCAATTGTTGATTAATCAATAACAATGACAACTGATTAGTTAATGCTCGTAATCATGAATTACATTCTGCACAACACTGCATGATAAAAATGCATTGTTCTTATATAAATAGTGTTTACATATTTTAGATAACTTACCTTATTATAGAAATTTGTTATAGACTTTATTTTTTAGGCACTTATGGAACCGTTTTCAAAGCAAAGAATCGCGAGACTCACGAAATCGTTGCCCTGAAGAGAGTACGATTAGATGATGACGACGAAGTAAGTTTAACCAATCTGAAATAATGTACACAGAAAGAAAAACTATTGTTACACAGGCAAAATAGATCATTAAATAACATCAGCCATTTACAATTATTTACACATAGATACGTAACATGTTCAAGAAAGGATTTTCTCCACAAAATATCGATGAAATCCTATGGTTCTTACTTATTAGTTCTTTACTTATTAGTTTCTTACACAGGGTGTACCGTCCTCTGCTCTTAGAGAGATTTGTTTACTGAAGGAGTTGAAGCACAAAAATATTGTCAGGCTGTACGACGTGTTGCACAGTGACAAAAAATTAACATTAGTCTTCGAGCACTGCGATCAGGACCTGAAGAAGTATTTTGATAGTCTGAACGGAGAGATCGATTTAGATGTCGTCAAATCGTTTTTGTAAGAATCTGTATGTGTTAGTGAGAAACTTAATGCTGTGTAACAGGTTATAGGTGTACCGTTTTGGTTCATTTCAGATACCAGTTACTGCGTGGATTGGCATTTTGCCATAGTCGAAATGTATTGCACAGAGATCTCAAGCCACAAAATTTGCTCATTAACAAGGTACAAGTTTACGTCTTCTACCTGTTCGGCGAGGAGGTATTACTAGCATTAAAGCCCTATCCCGAACTCCCTTCCAGAACGGGGAGTTGAAATTAGCTGACTTTGGACTGGCGAGAGCCTTTGGAATTCCTGTGAAATGTTATTCCGCGGAAGTTGTCACGCTATGGTACCGTCCTCCAGATGTTCTTTTTGGAGCAAAATTATACACAACGTCCATCGACATGTGGAGCGCCGGATGTATATTCGCTGGTGAATAGCCATAAGAGATCTGAATTAAAGAAATTTAATTTTTTTTCTCAACACTGAGTTTGTTCTCAATTCTTTGAAACATAATTTTCAGCACTTTTGCTTTAATTGCACTTAAAGGAAAGTTTCCTAAGTTCGTCCTATCGGAACAAACCGCCAATATATTTTCATAACCGTTACATCCTTGATAGCTATAAGGGTATCGTTTGGCTATCGTAAAGTTGACGTTTTAAATATATAATGATCCATACATTTCACAGAATTAGCGAACGCTGGCATACCACTGTTTCCTGGTTCAGACGTGGACGATCAACTGAAGCGAATATTCAAGATGTTGGGCACGCCGACCGAGGCGACTTGGCCAGATTTTACGACTCTTCCCGACTACAAGCCCATCCCACCGTACCACCCTGGCCAAGGATTAGCTCAAGTTACACCGAAACTTAATTCCAGGGGCAGAGATCTACTACAGGTAACGATTCTAGCATGAACTAAATAATCGGTCCATTGATGATCATAGAAATAAAATAAGTGTGGTGCGAACGTTCACTGATATCTTTCAGAGATTGTTAGTATGTAATCCGGCTCTAAGATTGTCGGCAGACGAAGCAATGGCGCATCCCTACTTCAACGATTTGAACCCTGTCATCAAAAACGATCGTTGCCAATAACGAATTCCAGGTTACCTTAAGCTCGACGATCAAATGCGCATACCGCAGCGACCAAAATCACACCGACGAAGATGTTTTGTTAACTCATTTGCATCTGTAAGCGGAATAGCACGCTCACGACAATGTTCACGTGTCACTAGTCGCAGATTACACTGCTTTCAGCAATGCCTAAGGAACTAACATTTGCTAAATGAGAAAATGGCGAAACTACTCTATTTTCAATTGAAGATATAGCTGTCATAAAATGGAAAGATAAGAAAGGCATGGTTGTATTAACAATGATAGCTTCGTTAGATTTTTCCAAGACGAGAAAAGTAATCAGATTCAGCGGAGACAAAATTTAAAAAATATTTCCATCGAAAACAGAGTAAAAGAACATTTAAAGGATACAAAGTATGTTTAGCCAAATCCTTTAAAAGAGAAATTTTGTCGATGCGATATTTGTGACGTTATCGTTATATATCTTTTATTTTAAAGATTACCATATTAATAAAATAATCTACTGATTATCTCAATTTATTGACTGTACAAATGTATGATACTATCGTTTGTTTTAATTATTACATGTAATTTCTAAGTAAAATCAATAACAAAAACATAGGAACTATCGTTACACAGTAATACGCGAAAAGTGCGGTGATACGAGCCGACTGTCGATAGAACGTCTCGGATAAATACAGCGGCTAGCGTATACAGAGCTATGATGCAAATGAGTTAATATATACATATTATTATTAATTATTATTATTATTATTATTATTATACATGTGTATTTCGCACTCAGTACGTCGATCAAGATGCGAAATAAACATCAACGAGTCCTGTTTTCTAAGAATGTTCAAGAGGAATTAATAAATTGTCAATTTTATCAGTGACTGTAATTTTCTAGTTTACACATCGTACTCGATGAGCTCATTGTACTCTGAAAAAATCGACTAAACTATAATGAAGAGGATGCCCCTAAATGAAATCTAAAAGAATTTAAAAAAAAAAGTTATTTCACTATTGGTTAAAATTTTATACACGGAAAGACTGTCTTTTCTCATTGTTTAGAGGCATTCTTTACAATAACTCGCAGTAGCCGCGAATCGAGTACGGTGAGCATTCCGGCGCCATCCGTTTGTACATTTACATGTTTCTTTGGTTCCCCTATTTATTTTTCTGTAGATGTTTATATTTATTAAGTTATTAATTAATTAATTTATTTATTTATCGCTTAAGAAATATTTTACACGTCGAAATCGATTAAATACATTCCTTAATAGATAGCAAGCAAACGAACTCTTATTTCTATCCTCTTTTCTTTACATCGCGTCGAAGTGAAATCTGTGTGCTTCTTGTAGCTTCTCAATTTTGTCTTCCCTTCGTTCCTTCCAATACAAGCCGACAATAATTAACGATATCAAGCCGCATGTCCCCGTCAAGGCGGCAGCGCTTAATAAAATCAATTTGCTAGGAGTTACAAATAGTTGCGCCTTCCACCTCCCAGGTTCTGAGATCGGGTTTGGAATCACTACCATCTGGGAATTTGGAATTATTTGCGGCCACTCTCGACAGTTTCCTCCCACCTGTTTAGGGCAAATGAAAAATGACTATATCATTATGAGGTAATCTCGTAGTTCAAAGGGTTAAGTAATGTCCTTACAGATATATATTTATATGTACATATATTTTATTCTTAACTCTACTCTTTCATGCAACTTACCCCTATCGTAAGAGTGTCGACAAAGTTAGGTGTCCTGCCTAAACCGAACGTGGTGTAAGGCAAGTTCAAGGAAAAGTGTGCGCTTTGCGGCAACTGAGCAGCAATCGCGTTCCTAGGACTGCCATCTTGGGTGGTGGTCCGATAAGCTATCGATGGACCTGGCAAGTTGGTCCCGTAGGTTCGTTTCTTTTTCCCCAGGGATCCGGGAGAAATAGGGTACATGCTGTTGTTGAGACCGGTCAATACCATCACTTTTACAAAATTCGCGTCGTAGTCCAAGCTGTTCTTGAAGGCGGCAGTGCGATAGGTGTCTGTACTTTTGTCGACCTCCACCAGGATAACGTCCAAAATTCCGTCTTGGTAGAAATCGTAGAACACCGCCATCGCCGTTTCATTGTAAAAAGGATTCAACGCCTGCCATTTGACTTCGAATTTTCGACCGAAGCCAGAGCAAGTGTTGCACGCGACGTTCTCCAAGAGGAACGACTGCTGCTTGTTAGTGGTTGACTTCAATGTGGCTAACAGGTCGGGATAACCGTCCATGTTGAAATCGCCGCCGCGTAGAGTTATGGTGTCAGTGTACCGTCGTCCGTCGGGTCTCACAAAGCCCCACAGTACGTTGTTATTGTCTCTGAAATTTACTTGGAGATTGTGCCACTGATCGGAGTACATCATGATGGTGCTATTGGTGCAACCCTCGTCGAAACAGAGCGGCAGAAGAACGTCCATCTTCCCTGTCAACTCCACGTCCAAGTAGAGGGTTTGCCCGATTACTCCGTGAAAATTTGTATCTAGTGAAATATTGTATGGAAACGTTATATTATGGTTAGGGATGAACCCTTCCTTACTGCCCAGCCAAGTTTCAAAGGAAGCGTTTGTGGTGACGACTAGATCCGCGTAGAAATCGTTGTTCAAGTCCAAATAGGCATTCGAATGGGGCTGGCTGATCGCTGGATACAGGTGTTTCTTGTCCATGTATTCAGTTTTAGGAGCGCGTCTGCTTTGATCGAAAATCCAGAATGTCCTCCTACTGTGTTCATCCAAACCAAACAAGTCTATGATCATGTCCCGATTGAAGTCCATCGCCAATGGCTGACCTGTCATCTTTATGAGCGGTTCATCCTCATTTGTGCAGTTGAGTCGGTCATTCCCACCCCACAAAACGTAAACATATGATAATTTCTCTTTTTTATCATACGTGACTACCAAGACATCCATAAACACATCACCATCAAAGTCTCCGGGTACAATGCCAACAACAATACGCCTGAAAGTGCAGCTCAGATTAGAACTGGGCCTCAGAAGTGGCTCCTGTTCAGCGGCGAGGAATATCTGGACGGTGGTGCCATTCTTGCGTAGCATGAACACATCGGTTAGTTCATCTGAATTAAAATCCCCAAAGGCAGCTGGCATGCCATCGAGCACGCTTCCAAACACAGCTGGAGTTATGTCGCTGCATCTCACTGCTCCAATTGTTACAGCCACCACGTACACAAGGATCCACACAGTCGACATCCTTTCTACCAGTTATCTGCAAAATTTATTCGTTTATGAAATATATGTAAATACCTTATCGAGTATGATATTAACGTAGATTCTCACATTCATAGTCCTAGAATAAAGAGGATTAAGTTGCTATCATATTCCATCTAAAGAATGCTGGGAGAGTTATGGAGTGCACAACAGATTTGTGGTCAAACCAAATCTGTGGTAAAGCGATTTATGATTTCAAGTGTTTACATAATTGTGACTCGCGTTACTGGCTCACTCTTTCAAGTATAATTCGAAATGGACGAAACTTTTTAACACTGTACGATTAATGAAATTATGTACTTAACCTACAAATTTTTATGTGCCATAAGACGCAACGAACGCGACGCTCGCGAACGTCAAGAACGCACGATATCGATACATCGTAAACCACGAAGTTGTCTAATCTAAATATTCCCAATCGCAACAACATATATCATGTACCACTATGTTATTACACATACGTACCCGATTGCGTCGTACATCCTGTTTGACAGTTGACTCTGACCAACTCTGACTCACAGCAATCTGTCACCACAGAGTAATTTTTAGAGTGATGCTCCTAATGACGCATGCGCACTCAGAATTGAAACCTGGAAAACTCCGAAATTTCGCTCTGTACTCTGTTCCAACATTTGCAAAGCATAAGTTGCTACTTAATGTTACATAGATGTTTATGGGGGTTAACGAACTTTTGCAAAATAGATATTTATGAATGTAACATTTAACGAAGGAAGTCGATTAATTGCAATTTTTTGGTCAACGAAGCACCGTATGTCAAAAAAGCAATCTATGTTTATTAAAAATTATATATCAAATAGAAACTCGGTAAATAATTCATGACTTTGTTGACTTTTCGAGTTCTGCAAATTTATTGAATTCTATTAAATATAAGTCAGTAGCGCACCTAAAGAGTATGACAACCTCGACTTACAAATTAAAAAGTTTATTATTCTGTTATTCCTTATTGCGGTTAGTTTTAAGAAGGATAATAATTATAAAATCAGCCAGTAAGAATAGAGACTAAGAAATATCAATGTAAAACGTTTAGAAGAGGAAATTTAACAAGAGAGCACCACATAGTAGTGCAAAGTACTTCTACGAATGTACGCACTTTAATTTAATAAACAAACAAACAAGTTAGTAGCGCCATCTAGTGTAAAGATTAAAGATTAGGTGAAGATTAGAAATAAGATAGAAAAATTAATTAGGTCTGTTCATCGTTAGATGATTATATTCATTTCAGTGAAACAATTTGAACTGTCAAGTGGACAATATTTTATGCATTCTCGAATAATTCATAAATGATGCTATTCTTAGAAATAAAAAAAATAAATTAATAATTATGGTTATTCTCCTGTTTCATATATTAGATTAAACAATTTTAACCTTTTTAATTATCAATCAAGGAAAGGGAGGTTGTATCCAACAGGAAAGGTAGATCGGATCGTAAGCTTCAATAACAACTGATCTCTAACCAATTTCATTTCTTAGAAATGTTGATCTAAGTATTTCTTATGTATTTTCGGCAGCAAGAATTCTGCCACGACAGAGAATTTATTTTCACGCGAAATTCAAGCACCACCGTACGTTTGATCTTACAATTTGAGCGATAATTTATTTACCTGCACTCGTGTATCATCACATATTATTTACAATTCCAACGACGAAATTACAGTTTCGCAGGACCACGACATCCTTTTGTATATACAACGCTCGTAAATCTTTATATAAAAAATATCAATCCCAACGTTTAAATCGATTACTTTACAAGTTCTCGTTGAGACGGTAAAATTACGACGGATACAAACGGTTCTATCGGGATCATCGATAATACGTATATATAAATATATATGTACATGTACATATATTCCAAGAAGTATAACGTTGGTATCGGATCTGACGTAATTCGGATTTGGCGCGCAATTGTATCTTCACCCTTTGCGCACGACCATTTTGGAACAAGACGCACACTGTTAATACATTGACTGTATGTGGAAGACTCTTCCACGCGTTGGAAATTTTACGTTCAACGGTGATCGGAGTATACCATACACGTTCAGCTGTTCGACTGAACGTATTTATTTGCATCGATCGTCCACAAAGGGTTTAACGTGTGTACCCTGGTACGCATGCGCGCACGCGAGAGGAAGAAATTTCAAACACGTGAAACATTCGTTTCAGGATCAACGATGACCGAATTGAGTATGAATTACCAGCAGTGTTCCTAAGGAAGTCATCGAAGTCACATTCTCGGTACATGATCACAAGAAGACGCAGGTACTATGAATAGGTTCGATCGAACAAGAACTGACAACGCTATCGAGCATGACTTCAGCAAATAAAGATTCGTTCGAACCCGATGGATACACGATGTTTGTTACACTGTTGTCGCTCGAGAAGAAAGAACGCTCACTATCCATGCGGAAAAATAAACACAAAAAGAATACAAGGGTCGTCCTGTTTTCCTATAGTAACATGTTTCAATGACGCCTCCATGGATGCTCGTCGTGTAATAATTATAATAATAATATTAATAATAATGATAATGACGATGATACCGACGGCTACCTGTGACGACAACAATGACGATGAATGACGATGGTGTGGACGATGACAATTATAATAATAACAATAACAATAACAATAACAATAATTGTATTAATAATAATTATAATAATAACAACAATAATAATTAAAAAAAAGAGAAAATGCATTCCACTATGCAGACATACATCCTTTCATTCGAATGTTTATCGTTTTTTTTTTTCTTTCTTTTCAGGAACATTCGAAGTTATCATTACTTTCTTCCCTACATTTCTTTTCTGCTTTGTACACGTTGTATATAAATAAGTAAGAGCAATTAATGTTTCTAAATGTCTATAGCGTGGTAGAAACTTACGCGTAGAGATATCTACAATATGTATAAACCATTGTTGTATTGCAAGAAAGTGTTCGCAAAACGCTTTTTGAAAGTGAAAGATTCCCGGCGTGAGATTGGGTCAGAGGAGGGTGGATGGCGAACATTTCTTTTTTCTGCGATCAATTTTAGTGATACAATACAAAATGGCAGTTGTTTGCGATAAACGCGGCGCGCAATGAGGGGGAGGGGGGGAGGAGGGGGCGAATGCTAGGATATATTCGCTCTAATACTGTTGCCACGCGTGTATGCATGCGTGCACGTACAATGAAGCTACATAAGTATTCGTACTATTTGATTGCTGATGTCCTTTGTAGATAAATGGTACAGGATCTTCATGGATAAAAATATATACACTGTATTGATTTAACTTTCAATTAATATTAATTTTGTTGAAAGATAACAGTTGTATGCAACAACTGGAATTCGAATAAGATACGAATAAACTAATAATCACAAATAAGATATTCGATGATGTCAATTGAGGCTTTCAGGTGTAAGCTACTTCATTTGTACAAAGAGTTAGATGACACATTAATATTGTAACATTTTGTCTTTGAAATATTTCAATCGTTTTAAATCAGCAATTGGGAGAATACGAATACTTCTGCGACGCACTGTATTGTGCACGGACGCGGACAGAGGTCGAACGAATCGTCGTTCCGTGTCGTTCTCTGTAGTTTGGTTAGAGTTCCGTGGTGGAGATGGGCAAAATTCTTATCCAAATACAAAATTTATAACTAATAGAAATTAATTGTATATCCGTTAAATAAAAATGAAAATTTCACTTAGAGGGTTTTGGTTATTTCTAGACTGCAAACTTACGCGTTCGTGGACTCCAAAAAAAGCTCTCAGGAACTCGAACTTCTGTTAATTTCTTTATGAATACCCTAATCCCTTTAGAGTGCAAAGAACTAACATACGCTATGGATGCACAAAAATCTGCAGTCCATTTATCTATTATAATCGAGAAGAATTTTGCCAATCTTTGGGCTCATGAAGCTACCCACCAATGTAAAATGAACAAAAGAAGAACACGCGACGAAGCGGTTCCGAGAGATCCGAAGAAACTTCGATGCAATCTTTATTCTAGCATTTTCGATCGTAAGGCACGCAATCTTCGATAAACGAAATGGGATTCTATAAAAATGTAAAATATTCTCTCTCCTTCATTGTCTCTATCTGTTCTCAAGTTCGAGCATGCTATCTTTCTTCTCGTTCCTCTCGCTCTTTCGGGACATACACGCATCTACGACAACCACACACATATGCTCATCGTCGTTCTCTCCTTAACTTATTCCATGGATCGCGCAGAAACGACATTACGTTCGATTCGACTTATGCGCAAATGTTTGCATACAATTTGAGTTCGAATTCTAGAAACTGGAACAAGCTGCGGCATTTTCTAATCGCTGACATACAGAATTCATGGTGGAAGAAGTTAAATCCCTTCGTGCTAGATCTTTCGACGACATAATTTGTTATTTGTTGCAACGATATAACATGCACTTACATTTGCTTGTTTTAACGTAACTATCCGACTTGTTTTGTAGGAAACTCGATATCATCTTTGAAATTTTCTTTTTCGCCACGCATTCTGGAAATATTAAAGAATCGAAAAAATACAATTGAGAGAACTCAAAAAAATAAAAAAAAATATATCAAAACCTAAAATTCTTTTTAATTGTTCGATTCGTTAATATTTCAAGAATTTGTGGTTGAAAAACAAATGCAAGTAGACATTATCCTTAGAAAAAAGTTAAAGGTTGTCCCAGTTTCGAAAATTTCTTATCGTGCTCTTGCTTTCGTCCACTTTTTCGACTGAACGAACTTCTCTTGTATTTTGGCGCACGTTTCTAACTTCTTCGTGCCCGCAATATCAACTGTTTTCCTTTTAAAAATTGTTTTTTTCGCTGATGATGGTTTTCTGTTAGAGCATTGCGGATATTCCAACACTCGTAACCATGCGCAGTGCGAGTTTCAAAGAAACATTCTTTCTCAATTTGAACTACATTTTCAAGCAAACTTTCTTTGCAATTTCATTGTATTAGCGACGGAACAGACTGATGTGTATCATCAAAAAGAAACAATACTTACCTGTACCGTGTGTAGGGGGCACGAAGGGGTTAGATCCTATTGGTGAATTACGGAGTAGCGGGATGGAAGAATAAATAAAAGGGGGGACCCGGGGAAAATATGGAACCGCGAACCACAAGAAGATCACCACAAACTTGCACGAACTTGTGAACGCTAGCGACGTTAATCTCGTTAACGACTCTTGACGCTTTCTCGCAGCCAATCGGTATCGAATGATCGAATGAGCGTGGCAGGAATGAATCGCAGATGGGGGCAAAGGTAGCCACAACTTATCTCGAGCAACCGTGCGTTCGCCGTAATGGCAGTAAGAGAGAAATAGAGAGATAGTGAACGAGAATATGTCGCAGA